CAGTGAATCATCACAACAAACACGTGTATCACAAGAAGCAAGTACGGGCACATCGTTTTCATCACAGACGGAAATAAGTCAATCAGGTGGTAGTACAACAATAAATACTGCTACTGTCAGTTCATCCGTACCTGTTACTTTTTCAAGCCAGTCATCCTCATATACAGGTTCTTCGCAAGAAATAAGCACTGGAGCATCTTTCTCGGCACAAACGGAAACAAGTCAATCAAGTGGTAGTACAACAATAAATACCGCTACTATCGGTTCATCCACACCTGTTACTTTTTCAAGTCAAGCATCCTTGTATACAGGTGCTTCTCAAGAAATTAGCACTGGGGCATCTTTGCCAACACAGACGGAAACAAGTCAGTCAAGCGGTAGTACAGAAGTAAATACCGCTACTGTTCTATCAACTTCACCAATAAGCTTGTCAAGTGAATCATCTCAACATACACGTGTCTCACAAGAAGCAAGTACGGGCACATCGTTTTCATCACAGACGGAAATAAGTCAATCAGGTGATAGTACAACAATAAATACTGCTACTGTCAGTTCATCCGCACCTGTTACTTTTTCAAGTCAATCATCCTCATATACAGGTGCTTCGCAAGAAATTAGCACTGGAGCATCTTTCTCGGCACAAACGGAAACAAGTCAAACAAGTGGTAGTACAACAATAAATACCGCTAGTGTTCCATCAACTTCACCAATTATCTTGTCAAGCCAGTCATCCTCATATACAGGTTCTTCGCAAGAAATAAGCACTGGAGCATCTTTCTCGGCACAAACGGAAACAAGTCAATCAAGTGGTAGTCCAACAATAAATACCGCTACTGTCGGTTCATCCGCACCTGTTACTTTTTCAAGTCAATCATCCTTATATACAGGTGCTTCTCAAGAAAGTGGCACTGGGGCATCGTTGCCAACACAGACGGAAACAAGTCAGTCAAGCGGTAGTACAGCAGTAAATACCGCTACTGTTCCACCAACTTCAGCTGTTACATTCTCCACACCATCAGTAACTTATGCAAGTGTCTCTCAAGAATCGAGCTCTGGGATGTCTTTCTCGTCGCAAACAGGAACAAGTCAATTTGTGACGTCTGGTAGTGAAGGAAGTAGTGGGATTATCGCTTCTGTTACACAAACCCCGAGTTCATCAGCAATTCCAGGTAGATTTCGTTTCGCTTTTGTAGTCAATGGAAACTACGTTGTCAGTTTATAGGTTCTTCAGTCACTGGTACAATGTATAGCGGTGTATCTGGCAGCACATCAGTTTTAAGTAGTTCTTCAAGTCTCGAAACACAAACAACGGAGATAACTTTGTTGTCATCACTGCATACAGGTAACAATAGTGAGAACTCCAGCGATATTCGTTTGCTCTGGTTTGAAGATGTTTCATTCCATCTTTAATTCTTTTGTATCCCGATGTTGATTTGATAAGAGTTTTTCTTCGCTTCAGACATAAGTTTGTCAACCGCAGCTTCAACTGGTTCCGTCAGTACTCCAACAACCATTTTTACCGAATCGACAACTGTTGCAACAAGTACTGGCATTTTTACGAGCTCCTCTAGTACTATTTTAAGTTCAAGTGCTATTGAGAATGTAACTGTCGTCAGTAGTATATCAACACCTACGGTAGAAGTTACTACTCAGGTTACTCTAACATCAAGTGCAAGTAGTTCAAGTGTAGTTACGACAACGGCAATATCTCAGACGGTTACTTCTATAAGAACCGGTACTAGCGTGACTAGTACAACAGCCACAAGTTTTGTTACTTCAGAAACATCAGCCAACACAAGTTCCACCACATCGACAACCGCTTCAACTTCCACAACACCTGCCGCAGAAAATTTGATATTTACAGGTCTATAGTAACTATTTATTGATATATCCTTTAAAGGATATTTCATTTTTATTGTAGTTTTCAAAGTTTTGAGCACACAATCTTTCGATCCAAATAATAGTACTCTTGTAGAGACACTTCGACGAGGATTATCTGCTGTTATAAATTTCGGCTTTTTGTGCTTTAATAATCCATTCAATCAAGAATGTTCACAATTATCGCGACGTAAACGTCAAACGAATCAGAATTATCTAATTGAAATAATTCCACCCGTAACTTTGGTAAAGCAATAGAATCTTTTATTTGATGTTGTATAAATAGCTTTCTTTTCATATTGATTTAGCTTTCTGATGCGAACACTTACCCAAAAACATATAGAGTATATTATACTGTCACTGATTTAAGTACAAATAAATCAGTATCAGCTGCTGCTGTTCAAAGTGCCACTGATAAATTAACAAATACTCAAAAAGTCACTTTGCTTGGTTTTATATTTGAGGGTAATTTAATACAAAGTCCAAATATTTCGCATACAGTGTCAACTCCAACAACTGATAGTAAATTATGGATAATTGGTGCTGTTCTTGGACCAATAGCTTTTGTTTTATTACTTATCATTTTGTTTTGTTTTATTTATGCAAGATGTAGAAAACAAGGAAATAATCAATCCACTGCTGAAGTAAAAATTATAAAATTAATTTCGTAGTTTTTTCTAACAACCTTTTTTTTTTATTTTTCTAGGCTGTTTACAATATTCCACAAATATCATCTCGTGCATCAGTAAGTCAAGTTTTGAAAGACAAAAAAAAGATACACATAATAAATTATCTTCTCTTGAATAGAATTATCAAACAGCTTCAAATGAACTTCGACAAGAACAAGCTACACCTCTTAATAATGTTCGCGTATTAACTCAAAATGATATTTTACTTGGTAATACGGCATCATCCAAACAATTACCACCGATTAAATCACAAACAGCGTCAAATAATATGCCACAATATCCTGTATCAGTTGATATACCAATGCAAGAAACACGCCATCTTAATGATGTTGAACATTGGAGAAATAAACTTCGTTTACAAGAAAAATTTGAAGTAAATGAAAATTTTATTTTACAAGATGAAAAAAAAGAACAGCTTTCTTTTCATAGCAACATTATGCTGATCCATTAAATGATCTTGATCAAGTTTATCATTCATCTGTACCGAGAACAACAACACCTCGTAAGTAAAATAAATGAAAACAATTAATTGGATGTTCAAAGAACCTTACTGACCACGGTAACCTATTCAGAATTGGGAAACTAAATATATCATATTGTATAGCAAGTCAAGATGACTTGAATAGTAGATAATAAGCCATATTTCACAAGACTTTGTAGGAACCAGAATCAATTTATTGATAAGTGACTATGTACTTGAAAATATGATCAGTAAATGATAACTAGTCCTTGGTAGCAGTCAAAAGTATTCGTAAAAAAATTTCTCTTCTCGGCAGTTCTGTACAGTATTTTATAGGCTATAAGCGCATATACATTTAACATGTTTGATCATTCTATTTTACATCGAAGAAAATATGCAATTTCTCGATGGTTTGCCGTCAGTTTTCATTAATAATGAGTTTCGATATCTACAAGTGTCGATCATAAAAGACGTGACCAGACATCGAACTTTCTCAAAAATTACTCGTGATTGTAGCAATGCAAAACATACTATCTCGAAGTTCTCGAAGATTTTTATATAATGCCCAAAATTGCCTTACATTGAGAACTCTTTATTAATTTTCTTCTTTTAATATTGTATTTCTATAGTTTGACTACTAATAATGAGTTCTGATGGGAAATAAACATGATGTTCGGAATTAGCATAGCAAATTGACTTGAATAGTTTATATTTCAAATAATTTTTTTCTCCACCGCAATTCGACTGATACTCACCCTCAGCTATTTTTTTGCTTAAGATAGATTTGTTGTTCACCACAGGTCAAATTTCGGCGGAGAAAATATTTATTTAAAATATAAGTCAGTCAAAGCAATTCGTTATGCTGATTTCGGATATCATATTTATTTCACATCAGAATTAATTTTTGATAGTTCACTTGTTGAAATACAGTGATAAACCAAAGAAATTGATTAAGATTTCTCTATACAAGGCAATTTTGACCAACAAGTACAAGTTTTGGACTACTTCGAAACAGTACGTTTTAGAATGGAACATTGCTATTGAAAATATCACGACTTATCATTAGTGAAAAATAGTGGAGAATTATTGAAGTATAGAATGTTTCGTATCAAATATAGAATGATCGAAGATTTGAAGTGTGTATGAGCTTATAACCCACGAGAAGAACTACAAAACTGTATAGAAGAAAAATATTTTACAAACACTTTCAACTGATACCTAAGACCACAATGTTCAACGACTGATCATACTTTGGGTGCATAGTCGCCTATCAATAAATTGATTCAAACTCCTTCAAAGTCTTATGAAAATAAGATTAACTAAATTCCATTCGACGTGTTTTGATTTGCTTTACAACATGATCTATTTGGTTTCTCAAATTTTGAATAGGTCACCTTATTTGAAAGGATCGTTTCATCAACTAAAATCAATATGATCATCTCTCGACAGAGATGAGCACAGGACAAGATTTTCCGTCCTGTCCTTTATTAACCCCCATCCTGCTGCTCAGCAGGGCAGGACAGGAATTTTAGTTTCATCCTGACCTGGTCACCGCACCGTGTAATCCTGTCCTGCCGCTCAGCAGGACAGGACAGAATACTAAGCGGTAAAAATAATGCATGTTTTATTTTTTCTTAAGTAAAGCATATATTGCATCTCTCAGAAATTCTATGACCAACTTATTCCTTTATACTTTTCATTCATCACAATTCTATTCTTAAATAACAGTTAAGCCAATAAGAAGTAAAAGTAAAGATGAGACGTCGATGTTATGATAAGAGAACGAAGAACAATAGTTATACATTGTTTACATTTGTTATGCATATTTTCTTTTTTCTTCCCGATTCGACCATCTTATCGGCCAATTCGGAAATGATTGTACTTCTTTAATTAAAGAATAATGATATCTATCACTGATAGCAAATATCAGCTGTTATTAACGATGATAAGTATCAGAAATAACTACAGGACAATATCTTCCATCCGGTCCTGTTCTGTCCTGTGTAACCTCATCCTGCCACTCAGCAGGGCAGGACAGGAATTTTAGTTTCATCCTGCCCTGGTCACCGCACCGTGTAATTCTATCCTGCCGCTCAGCAGGACAGGACAGGATACAGGACGGCCGCACCGCCCCGTCCTGTGCTCATCTCTGTCTCTCGACAATAAAATTAATTGTTTTTTTTCTCTTCAGTTACAAATCGTTCTCGTACATATCAATATAATAATCCAGTTTTTGAATCTGATGCACCACAAACATCGGAAAATGAAGTTGGACGAGCAAGATTACATCATTTATTAGATGAAGTACTTGATCAAGCTGAACCACCCAATCAACCATATGCTACAGATTCTGTAAATGAACAACAAAGACAACGTCGACAACGACGTCGTATTCATTCAACATCTTACGATCCAAGAAATACACGTATAATCAATGATAATGAACAAATTTATCATACACCTATTATGCCACGAGTATCTGAACGTCCTGATTCGAATCTTCTACGTCTTCATTATGATCCATATGAAGCTGGTGATCGTATACATGATATTGAACATTCTATGCCTGTTGTATTTAAACCTAAATATCCATCGGATGATAATGATATAAGAAAATATTATTCTACATCATCTTTTCGTTCAAATCAACCGTTATTTTATGATGATTCAACATTAAATAATCGAGACAGAATAACAACAATGGATCCATATGGTAGTCAAAACCGTCAAGCTCGTACACGTATTGAAACTGATCGTGAATTTATGATGCGTCCGAATCGTGATCATATTGGACAACGTCAACATAAATTTGATAATGATGTTGTTTATATTGATACAATGCCTAAACATCGAGATGATACACGAGTGCCAATACATGATGCATGGACAGAGAGCAATGATAATACTAATGATCAATTGTTTCATTTAAATCCATCAGATTTAAATAAACGTCATGATTATCGTGATGAATATATGTTGGCTAAACAAAGTGTTGTAAATACAAAAAATTTAGTATCAGCTATACATGATGATTTACAACAAATTGTTTTTGATCAATCATCTGATAGCCATTATGTGTGAAAAGATTTATTTTATTTTATTTTATTTTTTCTTTCTATTGCGATTAATTATTTTATAAATGTGATTGATATATGTATATTTACATATATATATTTCAGCTCAAGAGTGCAACTTATTGATTGAAGTGAAAAAAAAAAACAGTATTTTTTTATTTTTTCATCTTTTGCTTTGTTTACATCTGTAAATGTTTGCTTGCTTTTATCGAGAAAAATTTTATTTATTATTTATTGAATTATCTATTATGAACGTTATTATTATTTTTTATTTTGATTTTCATTTGTTTTTGCGCATAAATAAAGGTTTCCTATTTTATTGCTGTTCAAGAAAATAAATATTTACGCTTTGTTTTCCTAATTGAAAATATGGTATTTGCTTTTGCATTTTGAATTAGAAATTGTTTAGAATTGATGTAATATAAACATTAAAATATTGAAAATGGTCTATAAAACAAATTTCAATGATCATATTTCGTAATAACAATAGGACACAAAATCATAAATAATTAATGATTATCTATAATTTTGTTAACTCTATATAGCGTATTTTTAGATACAAACATGATATTATTTTCAATGATCTAACTTTTCGTCGGGCACAATTGGTCAAGGACATATCGTCTCATGGACAATATGTTGCAGTATTTTTTCTGGATATGGATGTTAGCAGAATAAACACATACACCCTTCTTAGTTGAATCTTTTTTATGATTTATATAATGGCAGTCATAATATATGAGCAATGAAGTCATTTCACTCAAGATAGACTTTCTCATGGTAATTAACGGAATATTAAAAGTTTGAGAATATATAAAATATGAAAGCTGATTACAAAATGATATATAAATGTAGCTCAAAGTTCATATGTCTTGTTTAAAAGAAGTAAACAGCGTAGGGATATTTGATGATTTTCTATTGGCAAACACTCAATAGAACAAGCGAACGTAGGGGAAAAGAAAAAGATTGTTCGAATTTTGAAATTATTCTTATACATTTATTTCGAGGTATTCAATTCACTCTGGAATATCACTCATTAGTAGTGATGAATTGTTCCTATGTTTTCCATATTTTAGTTTTTGCTAATTGGATTTTTAACAACTATTATTTCGATAATAAGAATCTGTACGTGACAGAAACTAGTAAAGTTCATCGAGTTCAAAATTTTCGGATCTAGACCCAGCCGAATCATATTTTGATACTCTCATTGAAATTTTCTAACGGAAGCCGGATAGTCGTCTCAAATAGATAAGGTACTTTTGCAGGTGTTTTTGTATTTGATGACTAACGCACTCTACACATTTCTCAGACGCCTAGAACTTGTCGGATCCAAAATTTTTGGAGCGTGATTTGATAGGGTGCGACACTAACTCGATGGGCTCTAGAAACTAGTAATAAAATTTGATATTCTAACATCTATTCGTATGTTTCTTATTTTCTTAATTCTTCTTTGAATCAATAGTCATATATCTATAATAGTTCAATCTAATTTTCTTAGCCTCTATTATATGTATTGTATTGTTTCTATCTTAAATGATATTTCATATGATAATAAGGATATTAATTAAAATTGTCGTGTATATGTATTTAATATAAGGATACAAAAAAAAAACATAATGTGAATATTTTTTTATTGAACAAATATAATGGACAAAAAATACAACAAAATAATATTAAGGCTAAAAAAGAAAAGAAAAATTATTAATTAAAAATAAAAAGAAAAAATAATTAAATATTTACCAAGTTTCTTGCTTCATAATCAGTTAAAGTTTGAAATTGTTCAAGACGTTTCTTTTTATATTCATCTGAACGTGGATCATTATCGACATTATAACATTTATCTAATTTTTCAACTATTTGTTTAACTTCACTTTTTTTAAATTTAGCCGGTGCAGTAACAACATTTGCAATTACTAAAGAAAACGCAAATTTCTTTTTGTTTTTGCTTTTAATAAAACTTAAAATTTACATCGTATTGTTTCTTTTATTTTAAGCATTTGAACTGATTCTAATGAACCATATATATATTTAAGGATATATTCATCGATATCAACAGCTGCTTTTATTGAAGCAAATAAAAGTGCTGTAAGAGCAATCTAAATAAAAATGATTTCTTTTTTTTTTCTGTAGATTTTTAGAAAACTGGAGTTTTACTTGTGATGGAGGAAAAAGAAAATAGACATCTGTTAATAATGTTTTATCAAGAAATTCATAACCAGTTAAACGTAATCGATCAGCATCATTGACATTATCACGTAAATAATGAGTCTAAATGTATAAAACAAAATACATCGATGAATACAAAAAGTATCTCGTAAATAATAGAAAAAAATATAGAGAAACAGTTACTTCTAATCGATGACTCGTTCGAGTCAACTATTTCAAGTGATAAATCGTTTTCTAGTTTGAACTCTATGCATAAGGTAGATAGACTCTAGTGAGATATGAAAGGTATCGAAAGCATAATTGTCCTTAGACCTTCGTTCATGAATTAAGACCGTTTTACTGGAATTTTAGATTAATGTACGATAAGTACCAACCAATCGAATAATGATATTTCTACCTGAAATTTTACTCACAGAGTGGTCTAATTGTGATTAGAATTTCTTGAAAATTTTAACTCAGTAGAATGTTTTCTTTGCGAGATATCGGATTCTGAACGACCACTCATATTCCGCGAAAAGTACCAAAATTTCAAATTTTTTAGAAACTCAATATTTCGTGAAGAAAACATTCTTTTCAATTGACGTTTTTAGAGCATTCTTATCATAACTAGACCTATTCATGGGCAAAACTTTAGGTCGACATACCATTATTTGATTGATTGGTGCTCATCGTACAAGAGCCTAAAGTTCAAGTAAAACGACCTTAACCCGTGGCAGAAGCTCTAAGAGCACTAATCCTTTCAGGGCATTTCGTATCCCACTCCAGTCTACTCTATGCATAGAGTCTGATCTAGAAAACGACTTATCAATTTAACTGATTCCCTCATAAATACGATAAATGTTCATCGCGGCTGCAAATTTGCCGCTGCTGCGATATTTTTTCGAGAAATTCTTCGAAAATCTATTGCGTTGCTGTGCTAAATTAGCACAGGTAGATTGAATCTATCGAATTCACCACGATACTAACTGTTGAACTTGTAGACACTCAAATCAAGTGCAAATTCGTGTAATTTCGCAATCCCCTAGAAAAATAAGCTGTCACTATCACGATAATATTTTTGAAAATATCTCCCGCACCACTGACGCCGTCATGAACATCTCTGGTGAGTATACAGAAACGAAAAAAATGAAATTTCAATGTGAATATGATGTGTTAAAATTACACAAAATAATACTAATTATGTCAAACTGAACAAAACAAAGAAGACGATTTTCTTAGCGTAACTTCTAGGTACTCGTCTTATATCACTTTATATGAATGCTTGAGAATACAATTTTGTAAATAACTTTATATAAATTTAATTGTGCGATTAACTTCTTAAAATTTTCCAATGAGAAAAAATGCTGAATAAATTAACTATAATGTGCAAAATGCTACCATCTCTGCTAACACACCTATTACTTTGTGAAGAATTTTAGAAATCATAAGAAACAATCTCTCTCTGAATATTAATGTAGGATATAAAATTTATGTTTTCCTACTTATGAGTGAATCTAGTCAAGTGATTGATTGCTTTTGAGAGCAGTCTTTTAGATAGGTTCTCAATGAAAGAAATTTGTTTTGAAAGTATCAGATCAGCATTTTCAATATTGAAATCTCAGAATAAGAAATACTAGAATATCATATAGTTACATAATAATAAGTTTATACTATTGAGAACAGCATTTATAGAAAATTTGAACTCGAAAATTGATTTTGAAGATAATCTGAAACGGACTACAGCATTACTAAAATGACTAATATTTCAAAAATAAAGATCCATAAATGTGAATTGTGGTAAGCTTTCTGTGATCTCAATAGGATTTATCTAATCAAGTAAGACTCATTTCAAAATCAATTCGACGTTAGTTTTAAAATGATCTCATTAAAAAATATGAAAATTTTTCCGATAAATTTCTATTAAGAATATTTATTGAAACAAAACAATGGCTTAAATAACATTTATTCTTACCTTCAAATCAATAATAAGTCCTTCAAATGGTCTATATGCCGTATGAATAACGAGTTGAAAATTAAGTTTTTCAATAAGTAATAATTCATATGATAAAATAATATCAGCTGTTTGATCAAGATTGGTACTATTTTTAATATTACTAAGAAAATCTGTTATTGGCATTCTTAATTCTTCTGTTTTACATGTTAAATAAACACATATTAAACTAAAACAAAAATTAATAGAAAAAGAAAAAGTTTTTTCTTATTTTAAAGATTATTATTTACTATATATCTTTTGGATGATAATCCATAACAGAATTATTTAAATAAAATCGTTTAAAATATTGCATACAAACAGCCTATTAAAAAAAGTAAAATTATTGTTTTTCATTAAAATAAAAATTCTTCAATATATACAATAGCCATTTTTGTCATAGGTGGCTCGAATTTTTCACAAAAATCTTTTAATTGTAATTCATAATAACGTAAAACCATAGCTTCTTCATCAACTGTTAAACAATTCATAGAATTCTATTATTTATAAATATATAATTGTTTTATTTATTTATTTATTTATTGTCTCTTACTTTTCTTTGAACATAATCATTATTAGATTTTGTACGTAATTCTTTTAATTCTTCAACAGTAAATAACCATTTATTATATTGTGTACTTAAATGATACATCTAAAAAAATAAACGTAAATATGTTGTTAATGCAACATGACAAGCTGGTGTAATTGTAAGAAGTGTTTGAGAAGGATTTAAAAGATCAGCTATTTTATTCAAAGGCCAAAATTTTAATTCACTAGTTTCATTTGCTTCTATATGTGTTTGAAGATCATAACGTTGTTGTAATTCGTTTGATGTCATCGATGTTCTAGAAGATAATATTGACATCAAGAAAAATTTTAAAATTATTATTGATTGGTCTTAGGTATTGTTATCTATCTGAAAAGATTTTTATTGTTGGTATTTTCCAATATATACATATTAATTATTTCCCTACAAGTTATAGGACACATCATAGCGGTGTTTTCCCATATTGTTCATGTACATCATGTATAGGTTGTTCCTTTTCTTAAGTGTTATATATATATAATATTATATGTCCTTTTTCGTGTGTCTCTTCACTTTACGCTGTTCTTCTCTTCATATACTGTATGGGCGTAAGTCACCTCAGAAGTCTGAAGGTGGGGGTAGAGGTTTTTCCAGCATAGAAAAGTGTCCAAAATAGAGGTGCTGCGTAGTTAAATTTCAATACCAGACAGGCGGCGTAACGCCCCACGCATCTTCTCTCCTCCTACTTACGTCCCTGATATAATGTGTGGTCCTTATACTGAACAATCTATAGTCTGCCCAATCAAATTTCGCTAGGAATGCGTCTTTCGAATATGAACATTTCATTGTTTTGAGTAGTGAACACATATTTCTGGTCTCATAAGTATTAATAACCTTTCTACTGTAAACAACATGTGTCCTATCACTCACCTGTAAGACAACGAAAAAGGCGATATTTTATGCATTGCGTTATAATAGCCGTGCATATTAAAAAAGAAGTAAAAAATCATACTAAACAATAAGAACAGTGCTTGGTATAATATCTCGTCGTTCTTGTGTTAGCAGCTAGTAACATCAAATCATGTCAACAAGTGCTAATTTACCTCCGCTTAAAAAAGTTGAATTAATAAATCGTTGGAAAGTAGAGAAAAAGATAAACTTGTGCAGTCAAAAAGCGATCGCAAAAAAAAAGAACGGAGAATCTCTCAATAATGAACGTCTCTGTAAGGTGAGCACCTTTGACCAGTCCTGATAGTGCCGACATTAGAAAGATCTTACGGATTTATAGCAAGAATTTAGTTGTAATGAAAATCTATTGTATATCAAAAAGACGTTTATTTTTTTTCTTTAAGAAAACAACTAATTTGTGTATTTTGATACTTTTTAAATTGATAAAGATGACTTAAAATCATCAATTTAAGAGCTAACCGTATAATCAAACCAATTTATTTTATTTTTTCATTATTTGTTTATAGAAAAATTTTATTTTTAGTACGTATCAATCTTATACTGCTTATTAAGCTAAAGTAATTCTTCCTCCCGGCAATAGAAGATCCAAGGTCTTATGGCCAAGTGTACAAAGTTTTCTTTGAGAATCTTTTATTGTGTCTCAAATTATTTTGATTTTGAAAAGAGACTTTTAGGATTTTAAAAGTCCGAAAATAATACTAGCTTCAGTCTGCTATAGCCAATTTGTCAAAAAATTTATCAATGCAAAGAAGTCTTATAGCATCCGACACATCGTTCCTCCATGGAGATCATCTATTGTTACATAGGAGAGCATTATATAGTCAATATTTAATGTCTTATGATGTCACTATGTCTTATAGATATATTCTCTCAATTCGATTAGTAAGACACGTGATGAAACAGAACAAAATACTTTTTCTTTTACGAAAAGCAGAACTATAAATCCATATAAAACACGGCAAGTGACATAATTTCAATTAGTTGTAGTTAAATTATTTACTAGCTTATTTTTTAATGAAAAATAATTTGATTTCCTTCATACCTAAGGCAAAATTCAATAGCCGGTCGACCATATTGAGGTTGATTTCGTACGACAGCAATAACAAAGAAAAACGAATCAATAAGAAGACTATTCCGATCAACATTTGTTTCATCAACACATTCAGCTATCGTTGATGAAATAATTTCTTCAATGATATTTTCTTTTGAATATGTTGTTAAATTTCTAAAAATAAAACGCAAGAAATTTTTATTATTAGATTTATTCGTGTTTATTTTTTCAAAGCTATATTCAAATTTCCGAAATTATCAACACATTAGAATGTAATTTTCAAAAACAATTTCCTAATTATCGATTCATACAAAAGATTTTTTTTTGGAAATATAAAAAATTTCGATATTTGTATCTTTGACATTACTAAAACTTCTGTATATTAATGATAAATAATTTTCTAAATCGAACATATGTCAAAAAAAAACACTTTAAACCATGAACGATACATGTAGTTCGTATCTTCACATGATTAAATAATCAAATATCTTAAGTTCACTAAAAATAAAAACTACCATGACCGTTCACTACAAACATTGACTTGAAAAACAAGAATAAATGATACACAAAACAAAATTCTCAAAGTTAATTCCTAAGAAATCAAATAAACCAATCAACAATAAACCTCTTTTACTCTTCGTAAAAGAAACTTCTCAAGATTTCTCACTTGGGAAGTAGTATCCGCTTTTTATTCTTTATTATTGACACATAGAAGTTATAAATAACAGCCATTAGTAAATGTATATTACTATTCATTCAATTACGAACTTCCCAAAAACACAAAACAATGAATTAAGCGTACGATTAATTCCATTAAGTTTTTTCTATTTTCTTAGTATATGCATTTAAAAAACTTTCAGTCATTTCGAAAAATTATTGATAGAGCTCTTCTATATTTGAACTAAAATCCAAGGATATATGTACTAGTAAATATAATTTCATTTATCTATACTACTGCTAAAGAAATTTCTAAAAACTTTCTTAATATCCGGTTGATGTTCGAAGTGTTCTATATAATTTCCTTAGAACTTCTTTCGTATGAATTAATTATTACTGATGATATTTTCAAGAAATTATCTGCTCATGTGATAGTAATTTCGAAAAGCTAAATACGGTTATTTTTTTCTACTTTGGTTCAGCATGACCACCAGGTATATCATACGTATGTGGTAGATCCATACAAGCAGAACTTCGTTTGATTAAGACAATATAATCATCGGCTGTAATTAGAAGACAACCAACACCAAGAGGATGTGATAAATGATCCTCTTGTATATGTTGACGAATGTTATCAGGTAAACTTTGTTGTTGAGTACAAATAAATGATTTATAATCAGTTAAACCTAGATTAAGAATAGGTTGAATTGTATCATCATTATTATTCGTTTTCATTTCAATAGAATGTAATCGAAATTTTGATTCATTATATAAAATACGTCCCTGATTATCAGAATTAAGTAATTTATTCCATCTTTCATTCAACTTGTTTTGTATATCACTTGGCAATGATTTCGCATTATACAAATCAGTATTGAAATTAACTGAAAATTCATTAAATTTTAATGGTTTTTTTAAATTTGATAAATCAATCCAAGTAGATGACATTTTTATATACTAAAAACAATGAATTCATTCAACAAAAAAAAAAAAAAAAAACTTTTCTTTTTGCAAATATAACTATCTTTTATTTAAGAACAAGAAGAAAAAAAACAATTTATGGTCCTAGATAATGACCTTTCTTTTGTAATACTTCATATTTTTCCCAATATGAATTATATTGTTCAAATTCAGGTCTTAATGTTGGATCAACAAGTAGTGGTTCACGTTTAGTCACAGCTACAGTTGGATATGATATTAAACCAGTCATTCGTGCTTGTCGTATTAATGTATGTAATTTTTCATTTTGTTTAGGACATAAACCAGTTATTTCAGGTGGAAGAATCGTACCATCTTTACGAAGATATTGACGAAGTACAAGAATATCCTGTTTTGTTTTTAAAAAAGAAAAATTTTATTTTATTCATTAGACTTCTTTGTGTTTTCTTTTTCATACTGTATGTTGAATATGAATTGATCGGCGATCGAGTTTACACCAAGTACAAACTTCTTCTGGTCCAGATAATTTAAAAAATTTTTTTTCATTATCATCGATATATTCTCCTTCGTACTATAAGAAAAATTTTAAATTATATATATATAAAATTATTTCAACTCACAGTTATCACATTGCCTTGAACTTTTTCCGTAACTTAAAAAAATAAATAAAAAAAAAAAAAAAACGAAACTTTATAACTTATTATGTTATGAATAAATATCATCGACTAATCAATGATTAAAGTAATTAATTGAATACGAAATATCTGTCTCGTTTTTTTTTAATGATCTTGATTTTAAGAAATAGATTATTTCTCTTTGTTAAAACTATTAAAATTAGACAGAATCACGCTTTCGTAAAACGAGAGCACACGCACTTTAGTTTGGCTTCATATCGCTCGATCTATTTATAAGTAAAAATTTGAATCTATTGATTAAAAGCCTAAAATTTCATGTTTCGGATTTCAATTCTAGCAAAATATCGAATTTTTTGGACATGAAAAGTAAATTTTTGAATTTGTAAAATGTATTCAACATATATAGAGCATTCTAAACTACAGCAAACATTGAGACATGCGTGTGGAGATTCATTTAAGAGAATAATCGAAAAACATATGTATTCATCTATTCTTTTCAAAAATTTTATTCATTCGAAATTCCTCAGCTGATTAGTCGCGTTTGATTCAAGACAATGTGTGCATCATGTAAACCTTTAAGAGCCATGAATATTCTGAAAAGATTTTGGACTCGTAGCTTATTCCGATGAAGATAGTGTAGTTGTTCGTTAGGTTTTTAAGTCAATGCCGTGATCTTCGTTAGAAAAGTAAGAAAAACTGATTTTCAAATTTTCCTTTGAAACTTTGAACACAAACACATCGTAACAAGAAGAGTTTACTGTGAAAACTTTAAATCTTTTCGTTGTTCCTATTTTAATATACGGCTATGGTAAAAGTGTATCTTTTACTTTTCAAGCAGACCAAAAATTTCTGAAAACACGTTTACACGCACTAATCACGATTCCTATTTGAGTGTTTTTTTTGGATCTGGTGAACATGCAATATTCTTTTTCCTGCAACATTTTGGCGTGTTTTTCAAATATAAATGACATTTTTTTTTGTGAGTGGCATATGTCAAAAAATATTATGATAATATATTTTGAACGCTTACCAGATGCAAAAATTACCTTTTTAAGCATCTTCATACGTTTATTTTATGATTAAAGTAGCTGGTTTGAGTATTTTTTGAATGAACATGAAACACATTGAAACAAGTTGATGTTCTTTATTCCAGGATGCGAACAAATCAAAAGACCTTTAAGTCTCACAATAAACTATTTCAGTTAAAGTTTATCTCTGTCCAAAAGTTGAAATCATTTTTTTCTGATATTTCTGAGGGAAACTATGACATTCATTGTAAAAAGAAGCTGTAAAAATTCATTATCTCCATAGCAATAAGCTAATGGGATGAAATCTTTTCAAGGTATTTATAGTTCATTTGGATCTACATAATGTACATAGTCTTGACACAAAATGGATTGAACAGTTGAAGGACTTCTCTCATAAGTTGAGACTACGACATCGGCTTCAAAGAGAAGTCATAAGAATGTAATATTTCTGCATTAATAAATTAAGAATCAAAACTCTTGGGGTAAATATTCATAGCTCATTAGAATCTGTACAAAACACATCCTTCCGAGTCAAAAACGACTAATCACTTGAAGGATTTCCCTAGTAAACATGATCGATTCGAATCACTATAAAAATACTAAATGAATGCTCATCTTCTTCAATCTATATACATCATAAAACAATCAAAATTCGTCTAAAAAATTTCTTTTCATTACTTTTTTTCAATCCAACTGGTTGTGTTAAATGAAACAATCGTTTCGATGATAACAAAACATTAGTATTAATCAACCGAAGTCTTGATAAAAGATAAGACATCTGAAACAAGAAATGTTCAGCTAATTGCTTAATTTTGTTTTTTAGCATTTTATTTCTACAAAACATATATATATTTATTTATTTATTTATCGTGCAGAAGCGAGAAAAAAAAAGAAAAAAAAATACTAAGATGCATAATAAATAAATAAAGGCACATAGAATATACAAATACATAAAACAGAAACGTGTTTTTCGAAATAATTAAAATATATAAATAAGAAAAAATGAAAAAATTTTTTTTTCTTTTGTTTTTTTCGAAATTCGAATTACAAATACTGTTTGTTAACACATTCACGCATTCTATGACAACATCGAAATTATTTTGGAACATTGCACAAAAAAAAAAAAAAAAAAAAAAAGTTTTGTTTTTGTATTTTGTGCTAAATTAAATAAAAATAAAATAAGAATTGTTAGAATATGTGCGTTGAGCAAGCTACATAAAACAAACAAATAAGCAAAACAAAAAGCTCAGTGTTATGGTAAATGAGATAGAAAAAGAAAAACGAGTATATGCACACAGAGATTCTCTAATAATGGATAAATTGACAAGACAATAATAAGTAAAAAATCAAAAAAATAACATGTCATTGGATTTAGTGTTTTTTTGGAAAAAATAATATGGACATCTGATGATTGATCTATAATCTATTGTTCATCCTCTTGTCTTAATTTCATTTCAAGATTACGAAGAAATTGTCTTGGAGTTATTATTTGATCACTACCTAGAAAAAATGAAAAAAAAAATGAAGAGATTGTTTGTTTGTTTTTTTAAATAAAAATAAAATGAAATTCTATTATTACATACCGATAAGTACTTCCCATTTTTTTAAATTACTTTGTGTTACTTCATAGGCACAACGAAGTTCATTATAAGCAACACCACCAAGTATAAATATAATTAAACGTGGACCTGCACGAACGGCACCTCGACGAGTTTGCATCCAACCACCATATTCTCGAGAACTAAAAAAATTAATTTTTCATATATAAATAAAATATGTTTAAAAATGATTAGTATAATTTCTCTGATGTTTGACAAGAATTAAACAATATATTTCATTTTTTTGTTTTCAATTCTACTACGTAGTTATTTTCTAATCGTAACCTTTATTGATTAGTAGATCACGCAAACTTGATTTTTTTATCGAAAAAGATCATTTTAATTAAATGTAATATTTAAAAACAAAACAAATTGAAATCATTATGATTTTGTCAATCTTTAGTAATATTATAGTTTATATAAACAATCTTTTTATGAGATTAATACCTTTGAACAGCATAAGATGTCGCAGGATTTCTTTGTCCACCAATGGATGGAAATAGTCTTGAATCAAGTTTATCATCAATAACATCCTTACAAATAACGAAAATATTAAACAATAAATATTAAAATTTTAAAAAATTTGTTTTACCTCCATAATATCTTTTACATAAGGTGTCCATCTGGAATTTGTATACGTTTGTTCTGTACGTTCTTTTCGTGCTTGTGGAATGTTCTTACGTCTTCCGCCCTAGAAGGTTAACATTCAAATATAATTATCTATCCTTTCAATCAAAAATCGATCACAATATTTTTTTTATAATCATGCAAATTATTCATCTACTTTTGAACTCTTCCTGACATAACTGATGTTGACATATACACACGCACATAATATAAATAAAAGGAAAAGAAAACATAAAAGCCCATCGATTGAAGAAGAACGAAATTAAAAATTATATAAAGGATAATTTTGAAATAAAAAAAAAAAGGAAGATATTCACTCATGCTTATAAAAAAATATATATTAAAACAAGAAATCACCGCTACCGATTTTATAAATAATTCTGAAGCCACGTGCAAAGCAGTTGCTCTGCCTAAATCTGGTGAGACTCCACTCTCACGCTGAATGTTTTATTAGATTAAAAAAGAAGGAAAAAACAAAATAATAAACAAAACCATTTACATACTCGACTTTGATCTTGAATAATTTGTAAATTAAGATATTGCATATTTGTTATAATATTTTTCTTTTCAGTTGGAATGAATGCATGACTTAATAGTTTACTTAAATTTTCTTCTGTAATACCTAAACATACGAAATAAAAAACAAAAATTTTAATTTATTTTGTTTTAAAATAATTTTATATTATATAGATAACAAATTTCATTCTCCATTAGTCAAAAGACTTTTGTTTTAAATCAGTACAAAAAAACAAAAATTAGCAAAAATCATTGTCGGTTTTTTTTTTTAATTTTTTTTCAATACCGTATGCCTCAGGTGTTGTAGAACAATAAGCTGAAAATTAATATATTTAACTATTCTTTTCTCGTTTTAAATAAAATTACCATTTTTATGTAAAATATATAACATTATAATACGTAATTTATCTTCAACAGCAATAGCAGTATCAAGTAGTAATGGTACAATATTACGCATATGATCTTTGATTCGTTCACCTTCTGGATCAATACCCATTGCTAAGTTCTAGAAAAAAATAAAGAATTAAAGTTTTTTTTTTACTATATTTGTATTCAATGTCATTATAATATAGAATTATTCGAGTGTGAAAAAGAATCTATTGTTCTTACATATGTTAAATAATAGGAAAAAGTTCTATTTAATACATAGAAATGATTGCTTTTTTTTTTAACAATGTAAAATCGTTTAAGATTTAAGAACGATATTAAACTATTTTCTTTCTTTTTTTTTTTTTCAAGAAAAAAGTATTGATTACTCTGCTAAAGAATGTAGAACTATTCAGATTATAGATTTGTGAATATAAAACTTATTTTTATCGCCATTAAGCAAGCTTTTTATTTATAACGAAAGATCTATTTTCAGCATGAAAAAAAGCAATCAGAAAATAGCACAAAAAAAATAAAAACAAATGAATTTTTCATATAAAAATTGTTGCAAGTAATTTTTATTATGAAAAAAAAAACTGTTTCTATTATTCCTTAGCTCTAGTAAGAATGTGTCATATATTCGTTCGGATATTGTTGTATTAACGATAATGTTATATCTTATTTAATTATTATAATTTCAATATAATTGCAAATAGATTGAGAATTATCACGTAGATGTTTTTATTCAAGATTTAATTACCTGTTCAACCGAGCATAATTTTTCTCCTGAATCTCTATTATATGTATTCATACATTGTTCAGCAATATTAAAATGAAGTGCATATGCATTTAACTCTTTTTGATATTGTGGCATTTTTTTAATCATTAAACTATATCAAATCAAAATAAAAAAACATAAAAAGAATATTTAATCATTTTATTATTACAAATAATACATACGAAAGATCTTTCATTGTTGTACGTTCACCACGTTCAGTATCTTTAACACGTTTTTGTATAGCAAAATCTTTAATCTTCTTTGTGATACTCCTTAAAAAGGCAAACAAAAATCATTATAGAAATAAAACAAAAACAAAAAAGAAAAGAAACCGACTGTGTAACAACAGCAATATGTTGATGACGAAGTTCAGTCCAAAGTTCATCATTTTCATCTAATAGAACTTTTTGTTTTTGTGCTGGATTAATTTTTGGATCAGCACTAGATGTTTGTACTTCATATCTAAATAATAAGAAAAACAGGTTTTTTTTTTTTTTTTATTAATTTAAACTAATCGAAGAAAGAAAACAAAAGTATCATACTCAAAAACATCATTCTCTATTTTTAATAAATCATGTGCCATTGCTTGGAATGTTAATTCGTGAAGTAATGGTGAAACAGCATCAAAACCACGATCAAGTAAAAGTAAAACAGATTTAGCTTTATCAACACCCTATTTATGACGAAGAAAAGAAGAAAAAAAAGAATTTGTTTGTTTGTTAGTTTGAAATAAAAACTATTGATTATTTACTTCGCCCATAGTTGCATCATCAGCTTTATATTGATTTAATTTTTGTTGAACAGCCTGAGCAAATTCAGCCATTTTTTCATTGTCGCTATAAAATTAATAATCAAAATGAATAAAAAAAAAAAACTTCCAAAAGCAAAATATCTTACGCTCGATATCGTATTATTGGATATTCACCAAGTGTTGCACATAGAGTAGCTATTTGTTCAGCAATAACATCGAGATGTGCAGTTCGTTGTGGAAGTGGTGTTGGATTATATGCAATATAAAATGTATCAGGTGAATCAAGCGTAAATGCCTTGTAAAAATATTTACATAGATTTGTATTAAAAACAAAAAAAGAAAATTTCTTTTGTTACCTGTCGTTCATATGGTAGAAAAGCAATATTCACTTCTCGTAATGTTTTAATATATTTTGCACATTTTGATTGAGTTAATCGTGAAAATAATTCAGCGTTACATGCTAAAAAAATATTAAAAATTTACTCGTGGGAAATAAATCGATAGGTGAAGTTTTAATAAAATATTCTCAAGAGATTTTTTTTGTAAGAGAATTTAATGATAACAAACATGACGATTATATTTTCAATGAAAAATAAGTTTTTATTCAATTAACTCAAGGGATAAAATAAGATCATTTTTCTATTCAATTCAATAATAGTTGTTTCTTTTTATTATTATTAAAAGCTTATTTATATGCAAAGAAAATTATTACTCAAATAGATCTATTTGTAAAAAGTCAATTTTCATATTTTCTCTTCATGAATATTTCTTTGTATAAACATTTGATAGAATTATTGCATCTCTTAAATAAGAGATCATAATCATTTACAACATTAATACCAACGTTATCAGCCGTTCTAATAAAAGTTCATTCGAGTTTATTGATATTTTTTTTTTTTATTAGTTTTCTACTTTCAAGAATTTATTTCACAGATGTTCAAATATTTTTTTGTCTACAAGTGTTAATTACTTAACCGATGATTGCATGGACATTACTATTAATAACTCGTTTATCAATAGGACAAGCATATTTAGAGTTTGTCCATGTTAATTATCGTGATATTTCATTCAATAAAAAAAAAAACAAATATCATATTTCTTCAAATTTTTAACAAGTTTTCATTTAATCCTTTGAATATTTTCCTATTATTATACAGACCAATAATCCTTTTTTTTTTTTTCTTTTACATTGTGAAAATATGTCATTGACTATGTATATATATATGTCTACTTTCATATTCAACTAAACTTATTTGCTTTTGTATTTTGCTTATATGATAAAAAAAGAATTTTCATGTCAGTTTTTGTTTCACGCTTCATAACCTTTCTATATCCTCACATCTTTGTGTCAATAATATAATAAAAATGAATAATAATTTTTCTTTTCAAATAGAACATGATGATTCATTTTATAAATATTCAAAACTTTTCTTTGGCTGTTTATCGATGATTAATAATCAAAATAAAGAAAAATCACGTCTATATTTGACTCATATAATATGAAAACATACGCAAAACAGAAATTCTTGTCTCCAAGAGTTCTTTTTTTTGAGTAAACAGCTTTATATCACATGCATATACAAGTATCAGTTACATAAAAACAACAGATTAAGCATGTATGTGTATGTATATATATGACATAAACTTAATATTGAAATTAATAATAAACTCTTTCATGCTGTATGAGATTTAACAAATCAACTAAAAAACAGGTCTAATAAATCTTTGTTTCCTTACTATCTATGTACTCAACATATTATTTCAATAGTTCTTATGAATAGAATTTGAAATTTATTCTCTTCTAAGCAATTTTTTTTAATGAATTTTATTTTTACCTTCAGTAAAGAAGACATGTGCAGCTTTATATTTGGGTACTAATGCATGACTTTTATCAAAATCATTAATAAGTTCATTAATTGACTAAATAAAACAATTAATTAAAAGTAGAAAAGAAAAAGAACAAAAAATCTAATACTTTTTCATTCGGTTGAATAAAATAAACAGCTTCAAGCATACCTAATGGTTCACGTCTTTTCATAATATCTTCAACAACTAAAAAATAAAATATGTACTACTCTAATTAATTAATTAAATAAATCTCTATTGTACTTGTTATTCCTTCCGACATAATATCATGCATTTTACATGATGCTGATATAATTCTTGTTGCTAAACGATCCATAACTAAAACTTTCCAATCATTCTTTTCTTTTTGTCGAACAGATTCACATCGTAACATATCATTTATTAATTCTAAAAAAAATTTATTATGTTTATTTCTTTTTTAATTAAATTTCAAACGGAAAAAAAATGAAAGAATTATTTCTTTTTGATACATACTTGCTCCGACTAATTTTTGCAAATTGGACGTTGTCATTCTTGTGTCGATTGATTGTTAATTAGAAAAAAAGATACAAATTATAAATATTAGAAAAAGAAAAGAAAAAACAAGGAATGAAATGAATATCGATCTAAAAGGAATATAAAGATGATGTCAAGTTGTCATGTATTATACTATTTGTTCAATTAAAAATAAGCGAGCTAAATCAATTGGAATCAACCAATGGTTTTATTGAGGCTAAAAAAATATCTTTATGATACTTAATCTAATTTATAAATGCATTTATTAAAGTAATACTTTTCTTATTGGTCAATTTTTAAAACCAATCATAAAACAGGAAACGATTCGTCGTCCGTTCGACTATCCTCTATGGATATTTTTCTGTTTACATCGTAATTTATTTTAGTACGTTGCCGGGAGAATTACGAAATTGTTAGTTTTTTTTAATCATGAGTCATGGAAAGAAAAAGAAGAGGAAAAAAACATTGATTCTTTTTTTTTTCTTTCGTTTCTTTTCTTTTTTCGTAGATGAAGAATCAAAATTCGATTTCAAAACCGACTGTTATCATTAAACCGCCCCCGTCTGTATCTACAATACTATCATCAAAAAAAGAAAAATTAACAATAGATAAGAAAATGGACTTAGAAAATCATCAACAACAATTTTATGATGATACAATTCAACAAAATAATGACTTTTCATTAAATATTAGTGATACTCCAATTTGTGAAACTTCTTCAACACCACTTACTGATAAGGTAATAAACAAAACAAAAAATAGTCTAATTATAATATTTATTTATTTTACTATCACACATAGAATATGTTCTTTTATCACTAATTTAACTGAATAATTGAAAAAAAACAAAAGTTTAACTAAAAATAAATCCAAAAATCTTGTTGTCATCGGTCATTTTTCTTTGTCTCTTGAATTTAAAACATATCGAAATCGATACTTAACAAATTTTTGTTCTATATCAATGCAAAGAAAATATTTCAAGTGCAAAAAAGATATAGTTGAAGAGAGATTTCATGTGTAATGTAGAATAGAGAATTCAACTTGTTTTGATAATCATAAGTTTATATGTGTACCTATGAATAATGAAAGATTTTCGATAGCATTTCAAAGACGAAAATTTCGGATCCGACAAGCTACAGTTGGCAGACGGTTTTCCGACAATAGTTCGAAGTTTTCGAAGACACAATGTATAAAGTATGAAAAAAAGTCTAATGATCTTCCACACCGCTTCCTACGGAATATTAATGAAGCTTTTCGAAAAATTAATAAAATATATTATACTTGTCTTTGCTCGAATAGAGTCATTGTTAGACTTTTACAATACGGAAATATCAGATTCTTATTTTCAAAGTCGAAAGTTTTTGAAGTTCATCAATATATAAATAGGTGTTAAAAAATTATAATTATATTGATGTTTTATACATTTCAGACATGGTAGATTTCAATCTTGTGTTAGTTATTAGTCAAAATCTTTGAATTTATAGTTCAATAAATGAATAATTTGTAAAATATTTAAAGAATTTATATTAGTTTTTAATATGATATTATTTGAATAGAATTTAATGAGAAACATATTTTCATCAATCATTTAAATAATATCATTGAACAGAAAAAAAAGAAATTATGTTCATTTTTGTACGAAATCAGTGATTTCGATCAATCAAATTCAATAGATAAAATAATGAATCATATGATAACAATATATTTGAATAGGTAATAATGGGCTTGTCATTTCGTTTGTTGAACGATTGATCCAAACAATAATATCAATGTCCTATAGTAGACATGACTCGCGGCTACGATATCCATTAGACACTTTACATCATGATAAAAATTTTCAAAGATTTTGTTTATCAAAAAAACAAAAGAAGCGAATCATCTCTAAATATAGATATATATATATATATATTTCATTGATGTTCTATATATATGGTCTAATCTTATCTTGATTGATTGATTGAGTTGTCGATAAGGATATATCTTTAAATTTTCAAATTGATGGAGGTGTATGAGAATGTAAATGCAGCTGACTGATTTCAAAACACTTTGTTTTTCTTTTATGTGTGCATGTGTATAGGAAGCAAAAGAACAAGAGATTATTATCTATGAATTTCATTTTCCTGTTGAATTATGTGGTCGTCTTATTGGTCGACAAGGTGTTCATGTTGATTATATTCGACAAATGACTCAAGTTGATTTAGTTGTACGAGATGATGCTGTTTCATTTGAAAAACAAGTTGTTGCTTTACATGGTTTGATTAAATTTATTTTTGATAATATATATCTTTTTTTTCCTAACATCAAAATAATATCTAATAGGTCGTCGACTAGATGTTGAACAAGCAATTGAATTAATAGCTAAACGTTTTCCACCTGATCGTTATCCACAAGTTGCTTTTAAACCTATTAATAAAAAAATTGTTGTACGACAACGTCCACCTGAACGTGTACCTGTTCCTCAATCTGTTGCTCAAGTATTATATAAATAAAAGAAAAATATTAGCTACCGTTTTTTTTTTTCATTTGTTTAGCTTTATTTACCTGATGGAATACCTACAGAAGTACTTGTTACAAGTGTTGTTTCATGTAATCATATATTTGTTCAACAAATTTTACATCCATCGTATGCTGAACTTGCACGTCTTGATAATTCAATGTCAGTTTTTTATCATCATACTGAAATGACACCACTTTTACCTCGACCTATTCAGTGTAAATAACAAATTCTTTTTCTTTTTTTTTGAAATAAATTTCCTTTTTATTTTTTTCTCTTTTTTAGCTGGTGTCATATGTGCAGCACCAACACAAGCTGGTTGGTTTCGAGCATTAATCACAGTATATAACAGTAATGATGATATGGCTATGATCAAATTTCTTGATTATGGAGGTTATCTTTATGTACATGCAAGTTCTCTACGTCTTCTTAGGTGAAGTTCTTGTTTTTCTTTTTCGATAATAAGTCAAAAAATAACTCGGACTTATGATTGTTTAGACAAGATTTTATGGTTATTCCATTTCAAGGAGTTGAAGTCTATCTCGATAATGTTGTTCCAGCTGATAGTAAGTATTCTTAGTGTTATATTTTCAAGTAGAGATAAATCGAGTGCGAACATTTAAAAGTTTCGAAAATTTGTAACGCAAAATCAGATAGTCGAGAATATTGAGAGACAATGAATATTGTAACTATTGGATAGCATCACCTGAAATCTATATTTTTTGTATTTATGAAATATTTGAGCAAAGAGAGAATTTATTCTTTACTTATTTTCTAGGTATAAGAATATCTTAAGATTCATAAAACTTTCGGAATAAGATAATTAGAAGTTTGTTATCATTCAAATCTCAGAGTAGAACGAGATTTCTTGATAGATACATAGCCAAAAATATAGAGTCTAAGGATGTTCCACGGTTAAGGATCAGAGACTTCACGTACAACTTAAAAATCACTCGATTTCATAGAAAAATGTTTTTGCGGGGCAAATTTTTCATGAATTTAGATTAAACAAGTACGGTCGTAAACTAACAGAAATCTTGCTCATTATTTTCATATGCAAAGGTTGTATATGATATCTGTTTTGCTGCGTATTGTTTTCGTATATGATCCTATTGAATTGAATAAGTTTGTACACAATGCAATATGATGGTTTATTAGCAAATACAGATTCCGCATCCTTCATCCTAGCTATGCAACATAATTACTATTTCAAAATACAAAAATAAAATTATGAAAATCACTCGTTTCATAGACTTATTTGTGTCTTTTAACAAACTGGCAATATCATCAGAAGATGATAAAAACCGTCAAATCTTTTAATGGCTCATTGCCGAAAAGTGTATAGGCATGGCATGGTGAGGCAGGGATTGACATTATGACTTCTGAGTCTTTGTTGAGAGTGTTTCCGCATTATTCGATCAACTTCTATCTGTATTTTCATTTTACTTTAAATTATAAATCAGCAAACTTTTTGTACAGCTTCAGATCGAATTTAATATAATACATTCTCTATTTGAAAAATAAAGTATAAAATATAAAACGAAACTTTTCTAGTGTGTAAGCCAAACAGATAAAAATGTTGGGTTAGGTTTGGTTTGGTTTAAATTTTGAAAACCTGTACTGATCCTATCTCTAGTAGATATATAATTGAAAACAAATATTTAATATTTAGATCAAGAAGATTTTACACCAGAATCAATTGAATTAGTTAAAACAACTATTCTTGGTTCTTGTTTCAAAGCAATGGTTACCGGATATCATTATGATAATACTCCATTTATTCAATTATCCAGACGATATGATTTTGTAAGTATTTATAAAATTCTAACAAAATATTCTATGTGTTTTTTCTTCGTTTAGCAACGTATCGTAAATATTGATATTCAAAAAATGATCAATAATCAACAACAACCATCAGTTACAAATGAATCATCATCGATGACAAATGCTACAAATACGTCGAATTCGACTAATATTCAACCGATGATTAATCAACTACAACAATCCGTATCGGATGTATCAACATTATCATCCACCACGAATTCGGACAGTTGAACAATATTGATCTGTATTATTATTATTATTATTATTATTATTATTTGTTTTTTTTTGTGGTATATTCACCGGTTTTGTTCTCTTCTCTTTTCGCAAAGAAAAAAGAAAACAATACGTGATTGTTGCGCGTGCTTTATTCTTTTTTTTCCTTTTGTTTTTCGTTATTGATGCCTTTTGTTTTTCTTTTTTGTTTATTGTTTTTGTTAATTGAGGATGATGATGATGGACACATCTCTCGACTTTTTTCTCTTTCCTTAAGATAAAACTATTTCATCTATACCTTCATTTTGTTCAATTTGTTTTGTTATTTCATAAAGTTGTGTGTCTTTGATTTCTTTTTTAAATGTTTCTTTTTCTTTCTTTATTTGGCTCAACAAGATTTTAAAAAAAGAAAGAAGAAAATTTCATAGTTAATTACTATTCATTTGAAAGAGTATGGAAGTAATAAGAGCTATTTCGATTGTAAGTAGAAGAGGATTTGATATTGATATTGATAATTGAGTTTTATTAGAATTTAATGTTGAATAATAACCAGTAAGACGGTAAGTTTGGATGATAATAGGTAACATTTTTCTTTTGTGTAATGAATAAAATAAATAGCGCGAGAACAAAGTTTTAAAACATAAATATTCGTTTTAGTTTTATATATGCGTATAGAAAATATCACTCGGTAGAGATTTAAATAGGAAAGATTTGCTAGTAGAAACTTTTTCATATGATAAGATGTGAATGCCAAATTTTTTTTTTCATTGAATAAATCTTTTTAAAGATCTTAGATGTTGTAAGTTTACAAGAGAACTACTCTAACTGATATTCGCCGTTTGAGATCATATTAAATGCAGACAAATCTTTTTAGGCTTTTGACAGTCTCAACAAGACTTCTGTCCGGGGGTTCAATATGAGCTCAAAAGGCAAATGCCAGTTGGAGCAGTTCTCTTGCTAGTAATTATTACTTAATTTCACAATAAAGGACAATAACTTATAAAATCATTGTGTTTAGTTCGTATTGGTTGAGTTTATTCTTCATTATGATGAAGTAATTTCACTTATGCTCTTTAAACAAAACTATGCATTAGAGTTTGTAGAATTTTCTGAAATTTATTAAAGTTTTCAGTTATATGAATTACTGATAATGTAATATTCTTTATACAACCAAAAATATTCGAAATCTAGTCATCATCAGTCTTAATTAACAGTCATTTTGTGAACTTGTCTCTAATACTATTTGTAACATATTCGGTAATAAAAAAAAAAGTTCTTTTTGTTATAAAATAATGGGTGAAGCAACAGTTTCGCAATAATTTGGTTTTGATATAACAATTCAATAAATTTTTGCAGAGACTTGATCTCTTTCTTTCTTAGAATGAGCACAATATCGAGTGCAAAGATATATAAAAACAATGTGATGAAAAAAGTTTTGTGAAGGTCACATAAATCTTAATACAAAAAGTGTCAGGAAACTCTTGCGCAAATTTTTTGAATTTAGAAAAAACAAGATCAAATAATAAGAAAAATATTCAACATGTTTTCCAACAGCCGATAAGAACGTGTTTGAAGCATCTTTACCGAATTTTCATAATTGATGACTAAAGTTGAAAAGCTAAGTTCTATGTCGAAAGGCAAGATACGGAGTTTATAGATTCCCCTCGACTAAATGATATTATTCGGTATAGAACATAGCTTCTCCGTGCTTAGAAAGGCGAGTCGTTAGACATTCGTTCGAACTATATCGAAACGATCTATCACTCGAGACGATACAAACATATTTGAATCTTCAATATAAGTGTTCTTTCATTGTCAGTGAGTTCCGTAAAATGGCAATTATGACGATTTGTCCTCCATCTTTTGCTACTTAGATGCGTTCGAAGACTATCTCCGGAAACTGCATTAAATGCTAGCATATGATATATAGGAGATATAGGAAGTACAGAGATGCAGGAGACATAGTAAACAGTGATTTATTTTTATGATTAATTTTTTCGAGCAAGGGTCGGCAAGTTGAATCAATATATTTGAATAGATACTCAGGACGAACAATCCGACAGTTGGATCTCGTCGGATCCTATCGGAAAAACAATCGGATCCGATGGGGTGAGTTCCACCTGGGTAGCTATTCGTAGTCAAGTACTATACAAAGATTATCTGCACTAGTTAATGAATATCTCCAATATCTCTATATCTCCTAAATCTCCATATCTCTTATATTTCCTCCCTCGATGGTTAATTGAGTTTCCGGGGAAACTCACAACGCATCATATGCAAATTATATGTTCCAATCTCGAATACTGTTGACTTTTTTCTCATCAAAGGAGTTTCAACTTCAGAACAACTTTATCATTCGATCAATAGTTTTGAAACAATCGTATCTATATGCATTGCATGTTTTCTTCTGAGCGAAATTAATCCGCTCAGTCGTTTGCTACAAACACCTACTATCGATTTCGGTGTCACTCATCATCACGTTTTATCATTACTCAATACATTCGATACACGAGAAACTAATGCTGTTAATTATTTCAAAAGCGTCGCGTTTGAAAAAGCAAAACAAATATCGGAAGAATTATTGGTACAACCAGCAGTACCACGAACATATCAACGACGACATGGCCAACAGACTCTTGATCCAGAAGAATTTTATCGCGATCAAGTATTTCTTTCTTTTCTACTTGAATTACGAGAAAATATCGATAAGCGTCTTTCCGTATTTGGCCAACCACGTACACAATTGCTTACTCAATTACGACCAGAACATATTACGTCGATGAATTGTTCAACAATGGTATTATATCAAAAATTAATAGAAGAATTCTCGGGTCATTTACCACAACCTCTGCAATTATTTGGTGAATTAGAAAGATGGAAAAATGCATGCATTAATCTCGTAGACAAGCCCAACTATGTCAATATGTAGATGAACGATTTACTTAATAAATGTGACTCTATTCTCTATCCGAATATACATTTTTTACTTGTTTTTCTTGCTACTCTTCCAGTTACCACCAGCTCGGCAGAGCGAGCTTTCAGCTCACTCAAGCGTATTAAAACTTATTGTCGATCAACAATAGTTCAAAATCGACTTAACGGACTTGTAGCTGCTTTTATTCACAAAAATGTGGAAATTGATGCTACGAAAATTCTCGATTTGTTTGTAGAAAAACACCAGCGGCGTTTAAATTTTGCATTATAATTGTGTTTGTTCTTTTCTGTACATTCTTGTTGCCTATTTATGCTACTTTTTGTTTTTTGTACTATTTATGGTTCTTCATATTGTTTTTTCTTCTACTTATAATTACATGTGCTTTTTTGACGTACTAAATAAACAAGTATTTGAAAGTTGAAGAATATATTTGTGAGACACTAAAAAACCGAGTATGCTCGCCTCTAACTTGAAAGTAACAATTTCTGTTTAAAAAATGTAAACATCATTTTACCTTGAATGTTTGTTTTAGACATGTCTTAACAAATATTATAACAGAAAGACCAATTATAAGACCAACGCTAATTGTTATTATAAAATTTCCCCATAATGGAATACGATCAAAATATAAAACTAAACCGATTAGAAAATTAAAATTATCAAAATTCATTTCTTCAACCAATAAACTTGGTGATGCTGAATGATTTCTTGAAAAAAAACATTAATCATTATTGTTGCACCATAAAAACCGGTAACAAACGACGACCAGTATTCATTTGATCACTGAACAAAACATAAATTTTTTTTTATTTCATCAAGAAATAAACAGTAAAACAAAATCCATTCGTTCAACAATAAATTGTCGAATAATTATAAATAAAACTATTGATATAAAACCAACTAATACAGGTGAAACAAACCATGAACCATCTATTATATTTTATAAATAAATCTAATCATCATTTCATTGTTTTCTACATAGAAATTCTAGCAAATGCACTTCATTTTATATTTCATGATCCTTGAGAAATAAGAGCATAACTAATTGCTACATCNAATCATAGGCCGAAACGAGTGGAAAAATATTCCACCCAGCTCGACTCGACACATATTTTTAAAAATCGCACTCGAGTCAAGTAACCGAGTATCGACTCAGACAACAATCTTCAAAGTCATAGTTTATCGAACAACAATAATAAGTTATCAAAATAACAAAAGTACACAAGAATGAAACAAAAAAAAACCTTGAAGCTAGATTCGTCGCTTGGCGATTTCAATAGAACGTAAGAAAAGTAAATTGTTTAATGTTGAAGGATCAAGATTTGAGCGTCTTTGAGTAACAATCTTCGCGGTCTCATTAATCTCTAAGTAAACTAATTCATCGACAACAATGAAATTTTGTATAGCTCATTCACTGTGACTTATCCGCCGTCATCAGTTCATGACCGTTTATTCATCGTATTACTTTCCTCGGATACTTCACTGCTGTGAGTTAATATTGTATCATATCGATTCACTAAATGATAGTAACAGCTAATTCTCAGAAATTGTCAAAAAAGTCGTTGAAAACTTTTTAAAAAGTCGAGTTTCTCCAGTCAAACTCGACTCGACTCGGCTCGACTGCATATATGACTCGACTCGACTCGACTCGACATATATTTTCAAAAAGCGGAATCGACTCGACTCGGCTCGACTTGAGTCGAGCCGAGTCGAGTCGAGTTGTCGAATAATCGACTCGGTTTCGGTCTATGATTTAAATCATCGTTTGTCTTTTTTTTTATTGACTTACAATCAGCTGGATTATTGCCTCGTTTGATTTTTTGTATTTCTTCAAATAAATGCCAATTAGCAGGTGATAAGGAAAACGCAACATTGATATTTTGATAATTATTTTCATCTGCTAAATCATTATTTGTTTCATCAGAACCATATAAAATCAATGCTAATTCGTCTTTACTCTCTTGAAACATCTATTTAAACAAAAGATAAAATCTAGTTAATCAATTGGATTTTTTTAATAACTGATATCTAGTCTCAGTGAACAGAATAAACTCTATAGTATTATTCACTATTCATACTGCTATATATATATATATATATATATATATATGGTGAGAGATATCTTTTGGTATAACCCTAGTCGAAGAATACGGCAACATGACGACGTCTTTACGTCGTTTTACGGTGAGAATACGGTGTATAAATAGCTGTTGACGATGGTTCGTAATACTTGTCCTGAGAAGTTTTATGCAATGGTTTACAACTGTCTAAGTTTATTTTATGCTATGAAGTTTGAAGACAGTAGAATTCGTTTATTGAAAATAGAAATCATTAGTACTAGCAAACTAATTAGGGCTCATGAAATCGTATGTTTAGGTTATTACAGGGTGTCCGAAAAGTCATGATTACTTTATAAAAGCGTATAACTTCACTATTTATCAAGCTAAATAAATTTTTTTTTTATTTGAAAGATGACAGTAATAAGTTCTTAGTTCCAAAGATGAACTTCATCAACATTGAAGAAAAGATAGCAGCTTTATCTACAATACGAAAATTGAACTTTTTTCAATGCGAAAAACAAATGTCAGATCGTTCAAATTTTTAATCATAACTTTATCAACAATTGTTCTAATACATGTGTATACATTCTTACGAAAAGAAAGCATGAGTCAATTTTGAAGACAAGACAAGTTGTAAAATAGTCTGATATACTTGTCTCCATGGTTGTTAAAATTTTCGAAGAGACACAAATGACCTGTTTTGAAGAAATTCATCAATGATTTGATCGTTTTAAAATAAGTCAAAAAAAAACTAATCAAAGATCTACAGAATTTGACGTACATAATAACGATAGAAATTCGTGTAAATATTAAAAAATGGCGCGTATTGTTATTGGCATCAAAAAAAGTTCAATGTTCGTATTGTAGACAAAACTGCTACGTTTTCTTTAATGTTGATGAACTTTGTCTTTAGAAAATTTACTCGTCTTCTCTTTCAAATAGTAAAAAAATACGCATCGATGATCATGACTATTGGGACGTCCTGTAGTAACATCACGCTGAACTACCGAAGCAATTTTCGAACATCTCATATGTTTCATTCAACTGATTCGCTTCACAAATAACTATTTGATTTTCATACTTATTGTCAAAGTAAAACTTCGGATAAAATTTTCAAATGATGTAGAGATCTTCTTACAAAGTCTATCGCGCAAAGAATAATTAATCAATCATGAAAAGTTTAAAATAGATGATTACTACAGACAAAATATGACATACTTTTCTCTCAACAATCATTTGAAACATATCACTTGTTATTTGCAAAGGCGAATCAAATCCTGGTGCTGCTTGAGACATACCAATACCAATATCAACTACAAGAGACAATGCTTCCTTTAAACAAAACACAAAAAAAAAATCATTAAATATTCAACAATAGATAATTACTTTATTATAAGCCATATTGCTGATTTGATTTGTTTTGTTTTTCTCTAATCTGAAAGTACCTAATCACTTTATAATTCATCAGAGACTGACTATGTTAAATATCTATCGAGATAGGTGCGTTAAAATAGAAAAGGAGTTTTACATAATAAACAATAGTACAAACCGAGAAAAAAAAGTCTTATGTTTAAGATCAAAGCGTGACAAGAAAAGAAATCATGAATAAAACTGTATTGTTTTTACTGTGTATCAGCGAAAGTGGAAGTGAAAATCTTTTATAAAAACACAAGACAAAAAAGAGCCACTACACCAGCTGCTATTCCACCAGTTACAGGAACTGTGACAATCCATGCAACAATAATATTTCGAAATAAAGAGCTATCAACACTTTGTTTTGAACGCACACAATCAATTGCTTCAACACTAACAACTCGACAATGAGTTGTACTTATTGGAATTGACAAATTCGATGCAACAAGTACTGTAAATGCAGTTGAAATTTCAATTATAAAACCACTAAAGAAAAGAAAAAAATTTTTTTTCAAAAATACTTATACTAAATATATATTTTACCTTGATGGTGCAATTTTTGTTAAATCTTCATCGATTGTTCGAATAACACGACGACCTTAAATCCAAAGACCAATTGATATTCCAAGACCACCATAGAAAAGTATCCAAAGTGTTGATGATCGTACAACAGCAGTGCCTTCGATATAGATTAACCAAAGACCAATCAATGGACTAATTGCATTACTTTAAAAAAAACATATATATTGAATTAGAATAATAAAGCACACATATTTCATGAATTCAAAATCGAATAGTGAGTTTTTCATTCTAATAGCAGCTCACTGGTCTGAAATGTGAAGATCGTGCATGAATATTCAGAAATTAGACAAAAAAATTATATTCTCTGACTATCTTAAATAGAATTGTAAGCAGATTTCATGGGCAATTTAATTTTGTGAGATTTGGTCTGATATATTTTATCAGTATATACACTATAAATAAAAACTTGCAATTGATAACAATTGATTAACTCTCAGATTAATCACGCCCTGTAATGAGAGTACTTCTCTTTTAATATTTCGATTTTCAAATAACTAACAGTGGCCAAAAAAATATCGTGATGTTGTGACACTCGAAAGTATTGATTGATGTGAGAAATTATGAACACTATGTACCTCACTAGAAAAGCATCTTTCAAAAAAAAAGCATACAAAGTACTCAAAGGATTAAATAATCATATATTTTAATTACATTCTCACTCCAAACTTTTCGTAGTATGACTATAAAATGTTTAAACAAACTCGAAGTGTTTTCCCTATTCTTATTATGTTTTTAGGATGTAATTGCATATAAAATACAAGACTACTACTTTATCAACTAGTAACAACCCGTGAATCTTCAAAACAAACAACAATATGATGTTTGATATAGTCTTTCATCTACCTGACATCATTTCTATCATGAGCAAATGCACCGAATATAGCAGTTAGAATATGTAAATATTTATAAATACTAGCAATTTCTAGTGAATCATTAGTTGTATCAAGTTTTTTCTAAAATAAAAGATCATCATTCTAATTGTCAATTAATTAATAAACAACATCAACGACAACAAACTTTTTTTGCTGGCATATCTGGCCTTTTATCTTCGACTTCATCTAAGTCTTCTTTTGAACTCATATCATTTGCTGATTCTGTTGAAATATTATCTTCATCTAATAATTAATAAATGTTTAAAAAGACAAGGTTCATTTCAAGAAAATCAAAATCAATTACCAGAAGCAAATAATAAACTTTTATTTTCATAAGATGTTGAACCTGCAACACCAAGTGAACTTGGATATTGTGATAAACGATAAATTTTTGTTTTCTTAAAGTATAGGAAAAAACAAAGGATAGTTTATTTTCCTTTGTTTTTGTTTTATTACTTCACGAATAATTGTTGGACTAGTTACATTTCTATGTGCCATAACGTTAATATTATCTGATGCAAGTTATTCATTACGAAAACGATCACTTTCTCGACGTTCACGACCGATTGCACTATATGCAGAATTTGATGTTTCAGAATTTTTTCGTATTCGTTGCATTTCAACTACAGAGAATTTATTTATAAAGCTGAAGATAAAAAGATAATAATTAAGAATTTATCATGAGGACGAAATCGATCAGGATGTTGTTGTTGATAATGTATTAAATCATATTCTTTAAGCATAGATATATGATCAATTTGAGTTTCTTTATCACTTGTATTAACATTTTCAAGACTAGTTACTAAATTTAATAAGATAAAAATTAATAGAATAATTTATGTTAGAAATTGATGTTTCGAAAGTTCACTGAGAATATCCTTGAAACATTTCAAGCGATTTACATAATATTCGTTTCATGTTTTATTTTCAAGTTTAATATTTAAAAATACTTAATAATTTAGAATTATTTTTCAGACATTTCGAAAGTTTGTCAATAATACATTCTCATGCTTTTAGAAAAACTAATGGCATAGACTTTACAATGAACTGTCGTTAAACTCGATTTGTAAATTTTTATTTCAGCATTATAGATAACATAAATTTGCCTAAGATCATTATATAAATCACTTGAACTGTTTGAAAGGTTTTCATGATTTATTCTTCAGTAGAAAGTCTACGACCAAGGTGTTTTACTCAGAGTTAATGATGATGCATTATGATTAGTAAAATAATTTGTAAGCGCTGAAATTTTATCATTTCCAGAGAATATTATAAAGTTTTCTTTTTATTTAATCAATAGCTTGAATAATAATACACATCTTGTTATAGTACAATCTTTTAAAAAATTTCTTTATTTTTAATATATAAGTAAAAAGAACAGTCATAGTTACCGGTATATGTTTCAAATCGACCTTCAGTTTTAGTCAATTGTGGTTTTTCTTCTGTATTTTCTAGTCCACGTTTTTCTCTTAATGTTGCTGAAAAAAAAAAATAAAACAAAAGTGTTTTTCGTTTTAAAATTTAAACATTATTTTACCTTGAATGTTTGTTTTAGACGTGGTGTAACAAATATCATACCAGAAAGACCAATTATAAGACCAACACTAATTGTTACTATAAAATTTCCCCATAATAGAATACGATCAAGTTATAAAACTAAACCGATTAGGAAATTAAAATTATCAAAATTAATTTTTTCAACCAACAAACTTGATGATGCTGAATGAGTTCTTGAAAAAACATTAATCATTATTGTTGCACCATAAAAACCGGTAACAAACGACGACCAGCATTCATTTGATCACTCTGAACAAAAAAAAATTTTTTTATTTCATCAAGAAATAAACAGTAAAACAAAACCCACTCATGCAAGAGTACACTTTCGAATAATTATAAATAAAACTATTGATATAAAACCAACTAATACAGGTGAAACAAACCATGAACCATCTATTATATTTTATAAATAAATCTAATCATCATTTCATTGTTTTCTACATACAAATTCTAGCAAATGCACTCCATTTTATATTTCATGATCCTTGAGAAATAAGAGCATAACTAATTGCTACATCTACAATACTATGTGTACCTGATACTGGTAAATTAAAAAATGTTGCAACTAACAACCGAATGCAACAGTCTATATAAAAAAATTTGTTTTTATAAATACAGCAAAAAATCTTTTTAAATTCAACTAACAGACTAATGATGAAAGTTGACCGAGCATTAATTCTTTAGGATTTTAAAATGAAGTTGGAATAATATCTTTCTTTATTGTATCGGACACTTTTGCTCTTAGACAATCAAATGAGATAAATCAACAAATTATATTAAAATCTTTCTTTAAAATACCAATTAAGATCGATCCAAGTATTTCAAATATTGCTGTCAGAATACATACTTGTTTTAATATTAATACTTTACTTTCAACACTTGTACCAAATGAATTAGCTACATCATTTGCTCCGATACCAAATGCTAATATAGATGCAACAAAAAAATCAAAAATCAATACCTATAATAGACTAATTGAACATAGTTCGAAAGCAACCCAGTCAGACAAAAATTTTGAAAAACGCGTTTAAACGCACAATCGGGAACCGCGATTGTAAGCCATTAACGCTCATTAAAAAACGCACGAAAAAGATTTATTAGCGTTTTTTGTAACTTCATGGGTGTTAAAACGGCGACAATTCCCGTTTTTGAGCGTTAAAACGCACTATTATTCTAGAACTTTAAAATAATGCGTTTTAACGCTCCAAAATTGGAGTTTTCGCCGTTTTAACGCTCATAAAGTTACAAAAAACGCCAACAAACGCGTTTTCGTGTGTTCTTTTAATGAGTGTTAATGGCTTACAATCGCGGTTCCCGATTGTGCGTTTAAACGCGTTTTTCAAAATTTTTGTCTGGCTGAGAATCATTATATTTTTCTGATTAGTTTATCAAAACTTCGAAGAATATAAATTAGTTAAATATATTAACATTTTGTTTTTATTCTTACCTTTGGAATAAGATTATTGCTATGTTCTTAACCAATATTAATTTGTCAATATCTACTTAGTTATAAATGATCAAAGAAAACATATAATATATGTTATGAATTATTCCAATATGTACAAATACACCATATACTGATTTTTTCCCTACTAAAAAAAACATATACCGGTAACTATGACTCTTATTTTTACTTATATATTAAAAACAGAAATTTTTTAATAGATTGTACTATAAAAGGAAGTGTATGATTATTCAAGCTATCGATCAAATAAAAAAGAAAACTTTATAATTTTCTCTGGAAATGATAAAATTTCAGCGCTTACAAATTATTTTACTAATCATAATTCTTCATCATTAGCTCCAAGTAAAACATCTTGGCCGTAGGCTTTCTACTGAAGAATAAATCATGAAAATCTTTCAAACAGTTCAAGTGGTTTATATAATAATTGCAGGCAAGTTAGTGTTATCTATAATGCTGAAATAAAAATTTACGAATCGAGTTTAACAAAAATTTATTGTAAAGTCTATGCCATTAGTTATTCTAAAAACATGAGAATGCATTATTGACAAACTTTTGAAATGCCTGAAAAATAATTCTATATTGCTTGTGCATGACAATGATTTATTTGTAGTCAACAATATCAAATACATTAATAAATTCGTCAAATTTAAATGATAAAAAAACAAAACAAATTCGATCTGATCTATCAAATTCAAATTCTTGTTTATCTTGAACAGAATTTAGATATTCATTATCAAGTTCACAAAGAACACTTACGAATACATTACAATCGTTAACAACAATAAATCTCAAAAATAATGAATCATTCAATCGTGTAAGATAATAACATCAATTCTGGAGAAGAATAGTAACAATTGAATAATGTATCAATTAATTCTTTTTTTTTATACATTTTTCCTTAATCTATAGAATGAGATCATTTGGCCTTTAATCTCTTGTTTTAATATACTAATCGACAAAAAAATATTGAATGAGAGCAGTCCAACTTTCGTGTCAAGTAGATGTTGAAAGCCTTGTTGGAAAAGTCTCTGACCACGACATACAGTAAATGGTTCCATATATATTCACCCAATTGTTCTTTGTGCAGTTTTTTTAATTGTCGATGAAGACTATGGATGAAAACACCCATTGTTATCATAGTTTCCATGCCGTGTGAGGATGAAGTCTTGTTGAACATGCCATAGAGAATAATTTGATGAGTATACTACCAGACTGGTGTTTTCTTGTGGTATTCATACTGAAAATTTTTTAATTGCAATTCGAAAAAGTTTTGTTGACAGCAATAGACGACAAAGCCATTCATCGACTTAGCGTCGTCTTCGTTGATTTCCAATAAGATTTCTTTGAATGATACGGAATAAATAAAGGATGGTCACAATTGGTCGAGATTTCGTTCATCCGATGCTGTTGCTGTTGCTATCATTCACTGCGAAATATAACACAGTGGCATTGCATCATGTTCGCATTGACAGGCAAATTTTTCTAATGATTCACATATGGATTTGGTTTGATGCCGTCGACGAAGGATTCTCACATGTTACATAGTTAATCTTATCACTACAATTCATCTCTTAATCATCTCCATTTTGCGTTCTCGTATCCTTACAGACCTCAGAAGTCTGTACTTTTTCATCCTGATGGCACACTCTCATCTGGACGACAGGTAAAGCCACTACTTCACTTAATTACATTGGTATACAGCTAATTTCCATGAACTTACACCAAATTCTAATAGTTTCTTTTTGAATATTGCTGATAATTGAAAAAGGAAGTTAATGATTCTTGACAACTCTATTATTAATGGAAGCTCAAAACATCCATACAAAAGCTCCATTAGGTCATAACTATAATCGAAGATACTAAGTTGATTTTTCCTTGTGTATCACAAAGGTCAGCTTGATAATTGTAGCATATCTCCTATTATATTTTTAATGTTAGATATTAAAACTTCATTGTCTTTTTACAACAATCAAACAGAGACATTTTACAGAATTAGTTCAGTGATACCTTTAAAGATTCGTACATATATATCAACCAACAGTCGTAGCGAGTTATCGTAAATATTGATAAAAATCAAAAAAGGCATTGATCTGAAACAGTATTTCGCAGAATGTCACTTTAAAAAGTATGAATTGAGACTGGAATGACTACCCACATGTCTCTCATGAATAGTGAAATAGCACGTCGAGACGATTCGCTGCTCTTCTTACCTTATATACTTTATATTTCGCACAAAGCAAAATTTTAAATCCAAAGGTTTGAAAATTGTTCAACCCAACCATAACAAACTGTGAACCTAATGATATTGGTAATGTATTTCGGATAGAAAATGAGACGTAAATCTATTAATTATCCTTTCATGGCTCTCAACATTTTGATGTAAGGGATATTGAAATATTTTTGATACATTCATTTTTTCAACTACTAAAGAAAAGCAAATTTCAATGGTACACGTACTTTTAACATAATACATCAGTTTCAAATCTTAGGGAATGAATGCGTAATCCATCGAATAAACTAAAGAAATATAACTATCAGTAGAATCATCACAGATCAAATATCAACAAGTTGTCACGAAACTTATTATGTATTAAAGATGAATCTCTAGAGTCATATGTAATAAATCAATGGATCCATGTATTTTTTCACTGGTTCCGATATTTTGAAGTACTCTTCCAGAATATTCTGATGCACTCAAAAATAGTTTTATATAATATTTATTAGCATTTTATTTGCATACTGTAATATGAACATCAATTTATAGATCATAGATGTGAAGTAAAAGTTTAGAGCAGCGGGAGAGGTTTGAACAAAAACTTCTTAATAGACTTTTTTTTTACAAAAATACGCCGTTATACGGAAGAAATTATTTTCGCTGGACAAAATAATAATTATCTGACAGTGATGAATGGGCATTTCATGCATTAACAATGACTACATTCTTGTATCGGCTGATGGCTGACACCGACCTAGGTGTGTAAACATCCCTAACGATAGACAACCAAGGTTGAATTTTCGGGCATTTCACATACGGAAAATCAGTCAAAAGTGGTTTGAATATTCGTTTTTGTATTCAGCCAAATCGAGAAAAGGAAGAGATTTCACCAAAAAGTTTGCGTACTGTCGCCAACTAAGTAAAAGTAGGTTCAATTCCTACCTAGTCAGTACTATAAATAAAATATCGATAAGAAGTCTATACTAAAACATACTAGTAGAAATGGCAAATACAGGTAACTGTTTCGATAGTATTCAGTGCTAGTGCATTCAATATACTGGAAGTATTATAGTGAAAGTAAATACCATACAGAAATTACTGTATTGACTTGATTATTTATTTGGTAATAGTCACTCAACAAGATAAACTTATTTATACTTGAGTAACTGGATACAATGATCAGAAAAATACTTGGCAATGACTCTTTCCGAAAAGTTTTACATGAGTCACCACAAATCAAATTTAGGTTAATTTTAATTTTCTGTTACATTTGCGAACGTTCTTTATGAGTGACATCTTGAATTTTTGACCACTTTTTTGTCCATTCTTTGTGTTGCACTTCGTTCTCGCAAAAGCTTCAAATGCTATCAAGATGAGCAATATCATGGATGAGAGGCACCATTTGTTGGCTACTAGTACCTGCAACTATGAGGAACACTTTTGTATCATCAACCTCAGTAACGAAGTCCACACACTCATCTGGTTGAGTGAAAGTGCTGATGTCGTTAACAACGCTGCACAATTGTGCAAGTGTATTTTGCCAATGTTTATCTGCTTGATCAATATTACTATCAATCCAGATGAGCAAATAATTTTGAGCGATGGACCGTCTTGATATGATAGTATTTGACGATGATGTTGTACATGCAACAATACCCGTTGTAGTTGTGCAAAGATTTTGTTCGGATTTTTGTTCACTTATATTGAGTACGAATTCTTGCTTGGTCATTAATTCAGAATGATGAATAATTGTTTGTTATTTGGACACAGATCATCCTTTTTTATTTATACATTCGATCCTTGTTATTTTTTTCTTCATTTCTCAATGATGTCAAATTTTGGGTATTTTTTGTTGTTGACACTCAACGAAGAACTCCACCTAGTTTCAATTGAAAATGTTGTTGTCAACAACTAATGACAAAGAAAAATCTAACAAAATCATTTCATTCTATGTTTATTGTTTCCAAATTTTGTTGACTCTTTTTTTTATATCGACTTTTATTGTCCTTATAAAACAAGGTTGACAATGAAGGATAAAAAGAAATTAAGAACTATAGTAAATAGAATGATAAGAATAAGACAGCAAGAAGAAAGGTACAAGCATAGAAAGTGAGGGTATCATCATTATCGTAAATTTGCACCATAGTGAGATCTTATTTTGAAGAAGAACAAGCATGTAGAGGGAGACAGAACAGAAAAAAATCGGTTGATAATTTGATGTCATATATTATAGAAACTAGATTAACAAATAAAAACGAAGAAAAAATCTAACACATGACATCACAAAATATTGATGACGTTCGGCTTAATTCTTGACAAATCATTAGTGTGTCTCTAACAGGTATTTATGT